GTAATTGCGCCAACAGAAGGTACAAGTGCTGTTATTTCTACCCGCGTGCAAAACGCATCTCAACCAACTCAACATTGACATTTGTACGAAGCAGGCGCCATTTTTATCAGAAAGGAATAAGCGGCATGGTCAGTCTTAGAGATTTCCCACCATACAGGCCACCAAGGTGAGGTCGTTTTTCTTCTCGCTCAGACGTTTTGCATCGATAGCGAAAATCAGACCGTGTCCTATCATGATTGCATTGGGCAGAAATCGCTTTCTGATATAAGCCGCTAGCAGAAAAAGCCATAAAAAAACCCCAAAACAAATACGAGGATAAAGGAAGCACCCTGTCCCAGATGTAGCCTGGGATGCTTTATCTGTTCTATCAAGGTCACAAAGGAGATTCTGTGGGCATGCCTCCTGCACAGGGGCACCAGCCTCCATCCAGGGCGGGACGTGTTTACGCATGTACCGGTGTATAGCCGCGTATAGACATCGATTTCTACGGGTGGCGTATACAGCTCCTGGACAGAGATATATACTTGTATTTTACGTTCTACGGCCAAAAGTGCCCATGTGCATGAGGCCTTAATGGGTATGTCCGGCCAAAACCTTGTATTTTTGTTTTGGATGACCTTGGGAAGGGTTAGAACCCAGACCCCCCCATCCCAACCCCATCAAAAATTTAACCTAGCTTCCTGTCCAGATGACATTTTACCAGACAGGAGGTGAGGGGAACTTTCCAACAGCAACAAAAAGATAAAAAACAGTTAAGTCGGAAAGGACTAGAATCCCGATCAGATTTTTATTTCAAGAACAGGATAGGTGGTGGATACATGGTATCAAACAGGTCAAATGATTACTAAGGGGGTGCAAAAGCTCTGGTGAGACTGTCCCCCCAAAAAAACTGGGTTCCCCCCAAGGAGGGAACCTAGATTAGAAAGAAGTCCAACGATAAGGAAGTCTAAAGTCTTTTAATACCGATCTCGGTCCACAAGAGAACGTGAAACAGGCAACGCGTTTCAGGATCCCCGCCATCTCCTACTTCAGGGATATAAAAATGAAGTCTTTTAATAATATTGGGTCACAAGAGAACTCAAAACATTCAATGCGTTTGGGTGGTTCAAAGACCGTCTCACATCCCCCCCCCTTTCTTCAGGGCTTTAAAATGGTCATATGAACCCATATGGAAGAAAAATATATTTGAAATATATTTTAAAAATATTCTACCCAACTATATTGCCATATATTTGAAACGCTACAATTTTGGTCATATTCAATATATTTTAAAAAATCTGAATATTTAAAAAAAAAAAAATTTTTTTAAATATATTCTTCAGATTTTTTTTAACATATAAAAAAATAACTCATTTTAACTTATATTTTTAGATATATTTGTACATGCATTCCTAAAATGTAGATTTGTATTTTTAAAAAGACATACAGTATATCTGAAAAATGTATTTTTAAAAATATATTTTTTCATATATTTTGTGATAAAAACGCATTTCAACATGCAGAGTATAATATCTATATATATAATGGCCAAAATTGAAATATATATATATATATATATATATATTTTTTTTTTTTTAATTTTGGCCAAAAAAAAAATATAAATATATATATATATATATATATATATATATATATATATATATTATATATATATATATATCTCTATCTATAGATATATATATAGATAGATATAGAGAGAGAGAGAGAGAGAGAGAGAGAGAGAGAGGACATGGCCAAAACTTTATATATATATAATTTAAGTTTTGGCCATGTTCTCTCTCTCTCTATATCTATCTATCTATCTATCTATATATATATATATTATATAAAATATGGCCAAAATATTCTTCCCAAATATATTGCCATATATTTGAAATGCTACACATATATTTTTCTTCCATGTTGGAATGCCTAGTCTTTTAATACTTATATTGGTTAACAAGAGAACACAAAACAGCCAATGCGTTTTTCGTTTTTAGGGTCTCAAACATTTCCCCGTTCTACGGGGCTATAAAATTTGATATATGAATACACTATTAGGGTTGCATTCGTATCAGGGTGATACACCCCAATAATTGAATTGATATACATCAATATAAATTAGGCCAACATAGGTATCCATATATCTATTTTATAAAAGGAGGGGGGATATTTGAATGCTGAAACGCGTTGGTGTTTCTTGTGATCTTGTTGTAACCTAATATCAATATTAGAAGACTTTGGACTCAGACCTTTTTTTGGCACTCTCAGATGATATATGAATACCTATGTTGTTTTAATTCATATCATCTGAGAGAGCCAAACAAAAGGTCCAAGGTCTACTAATATTGATATTGGTTTACAACGAGATCACAAGAAACACCAACGCGTTTCAGCACTCAAATATCTCGTCCCCTTCTATAAAATAGATCTATGAATACCTACGTCATCTTAATTGATATTTATGTATTTTATAGATATTTGAGTGCTGAAATGCATGGTGTTTATTTTTATCTTGTTGTAATCCAATATCAATATTAGAAGACCTTGGACTCTTGGACCTTTCCTTTGGCTCTCTCAGATAATACATAAATCTGAATTAAGACGACATAGGTATTCCTATATCTATTTTATAGAAGGGGAGATATTTGAGTGCTGAAACGCATTGGTGTTTCTTGTTATCTTTTGTAATCCAATATCAATATTAGAAGACCTTGAACTCTTGGACCTTTTTTTGGCACGTTCAGATGATACATAAATATGAAGATGACTTAGGTATTCATAGGTCTAGCTTACAGAAGCAGGGAGATATCTGAGTGATGAAACGCGTTGGTGTTTCTTGTTGTGAACCAATATCAACATTAGAAGTCTTTGGACTTCTAGACCTTTCATTTTGTGCTCGGAATTTGTAATTGCCAAAAATCTGTCCCTTTCGCAGATTTTCCTTACCTGGCTTTCGGCAGGTCAGGAAGTTAGGGGAAATCTGTCTAATGATACCCCCAGATAGTGCAAACAGGGACAGGGACTCTAATCTTTCCCCACTCAGTTCAAAACTTTCTAAAAAGTTTTCCCTTTGGCAAACAAAATTCAACTTCAGTTACCCATAAAAGTCACTCTGGCTGAAGGCCAATAGCTAGTTAGGATGTAGTGGTGGGAGCAAGGGAGTACTGGTAATGCAAAATGAAAGCTGATATTGAACTCCGCCTTGGCAAGGCATGTGAGGTGGCACTGATAGGTGGGGCGTGACGTGGCCCAGGTATGACCACAAAACCTCTAAGAATGACCATTTACTGCTCATCAAGCAGGAGTCATAAAACGGCATTACATTGGAAGGGCAGCATTGGATACGTCCATTTAAAGGGTTCCTTAATTAGACCTTTCTGAGTCTCCCACGGCTGGACAGACACGACACGTTATACAGAAGGAAGGAAGGAGAGCAGAGCTGCTTGTGCCTTGCTGGTAGTTAAACTCATCAACAGAGTCTTCTTCTATCTCATTCATAAAGGGCCCCTAAATTGTAGCCATGCTTGTGCATCAACGCGTAAAAATTTTTTCTTTCAACAAAAACATTAATTAGTATTACGTAGCTCGCGCCAGTAGTCGGCCAAAGCTGCAAGTGCAAACTCGGAGCAAAAAGAACGCATGGACTTGGACATAACCATCACAGCGGCTCCATGTTTGTAAACAAAGCCCCCACAAAGTGTCCCGAGCATCAGAAGACTTTCCGAAAGCTACAGAACTTGGAATCGCTAAGTCTGCGCTTCTGGCAGCTTCCTGCTTGGACCTGGTCTGGGAGTGCCAAGCCGCGGCGCTGTGTGGATGAGGCCACGACTCGACTCACAGTTCAGGTTTTGATATCGGGAGGTGTCTGGAGGTGAACGTCGACACACTGATATGAAGCTGAAGCTCCCTAGGCAGCAGGCAGGACAGGACACTGTCTCTTCATGGTCCAGAACTGAACTGGAGGAAGCATGCAGAGGAGCCATGCTTCCGCTCTCAGCTCCTTCACACCCCAGGCCTGGCAAGCTACCCTCCCATAGGCTGCCCTCCATTGAACCCAAAGGATGAGGATGCAGCAAGCCAACCCATCCGATGGGTTTGCTGCGGACTACATTGTTATTGTCCGAAAGACTTATCCTGTTGGGGACACCTGGTGGTTCCTGCTGCCATGTGCTTACAGGGGGAGAAGGGGAACGGGAAGACGATGGTGTAGAAGACGATGAAGAGTGAGGAGGAGTCAGGCGAGTGGGAAGTGATCCATTGGCCCGAACCTGCGGCAGCCTCCTACAAAAAGTGTTCTCTTCTGTGCTCTCCGGACTGCTTGAACAATCCATGGGCTCTGCAATCTCGGGCCGCTCAAGTTCCGCATTTTCTACTGACATTGTCCTATTAGGTTTCCACCGTTGGTTCCAGTCCTTTGAACTCTCATGAGACTTTGGGATCTCTGGACCTCCCGGCTGACTCTTCGTTCCATGAGGGTGAAGATTTGGGGATAAAGCTTTGACCTCCCAGTCTGAAACACTAATAGAGTTCTCTGCAGATTCTTTTTCCTTCAGGTCATCAGTACTTGGGGGACTAGTGTTTTTTGCTAACTGTTCACTGTTCGGATGTAGGGCTTTCCTTTCTGTGGACTCCTCTTTCATGTAGTCTATGAGAGCCCCATCAAACTGTCTCACTTCCTGGCCACATGCATCAGTGCTCGCGTTCAATGTCCATTCTTTATCGAGCAGAGATTCTGTGACCCCACCAGATTCCATATTTCTTGCAGAATTTAGACTTTGTAGCAGATTTTTTGGGGGATTCTCCACTGAGGTCTGAAAATCATTCTGTAAGAACCCATTGACTGTCCTATTGCTTCCATCTGTTTGTACAGAATTGACATCAGCATCAAAACTTTCCCCTTTACAGTGGAGACCTCTCTGTACAGGGGTGGTGACGGGACAAAGACTTCCTCTTCGCACTATCTCAGGAGAGGATGGAAGAGAGCGACAGCGTCTTGGTCTGCCCATCATCTCTGAGAAATCACACTGGGCATCCACCATGGGTTCGGGGGTGATCGGACTGCTGGTCTGGTAAGTCAGTGGAGGTGGAAGGTCAAATGTCAATGAAATGACTGATTTGCTTGGTGTGTCGTAAAGCTTAATTCTTCCACCCTTGAGGTCTTCTCTCTGCGAGAAAGGGTTAATGCGGGCAGGAGTGTCATGCAAGAGGTCATTGTATAGATCCTGAGAGCGCAGTAAGAGAGGTGGCTGTGGAGAGAACATGTCAGACTGGCTGCGGGACAAGCGCTGATCAGGGGGTGTTGGAAGATCCCAGGACCGTTCCTGATTATCTGAGAGCAACGAAGGTCTCCTTTCACCTAATAAACAAAAAAAGGAAATAAATTATAGTCACTGCTTCAAAACAAATAATACTGTTAATACAATTTTATTACAAAACTCAAAAAGAAAACATTAGTTGTGTATGATAGAAAAAAAAAAAAACCTTTACTTGGAGGCCACTGAGGAACACAGGAATTCAGATACTGTTGGGTTATATACTGCCACCTACAGGACAACATACCTCAGTGTGTAGCAAGCCGCACTAGTAGAATGATCATAACACAGGGGGATGGGACCTGTGGCCTTCAATACACCCCAAGAGACTGATTTGGTAGAAGTACAAAAACCCTATTTTCCTTCTCGTCCATTTAGGGACACAGGAATTCAGATCTCGTTGGGACATCCAAAGCAACAGGCCCAACAAAACCGGGGACTGCCTGCAGTCAAAGAGCTGCCATTGTCTGAAACGGATAGCAGATGACTCCAGATATGGGAACCTGCCAACATTACGACAAGGACAACATGGAAAATCAACTTGCTGCTCAAGACCAGACAGAAAATGACACCACCAGAAACGAATGACTTCTCATGGAAGGGAACACAAAAACCTGAAACAAGCTAGAAGCTAAAGAACCAGAATTCACCAAAAACAGGTGGAACAAAAACAATTTCCTATGTAGAAAAGAAAAGACTGACAACCTGATGTGGTAAATGAGGAGTGGGGTCAAGGACAAGAACCTGTTGTCTAAAAGAGATGGTCTAGCCAGACAATCAACCCGCTAAGTGAGACTTTCCTGGAAAAATCCTGAATAAGGTATAGTCTGCCAGAGAACTCAATATCATTGAAGGTGGTAGGGTGCATAGGAAGCACCAAAACAAAGTTTGACAAGAGACAGAGGTTAGTCCTTAGCCACAGACCAGTGAGTTGGATGCAGCCAGATAAAACCGAGAATGAAGCCACTACATCCTCTCTGGAATCTAACAGATGCTTCTGGACAACCCCAAAGGAATATTGCTAAAGCACAAACCTGCCTGTCAGGAATGGACTCAGCACTGGTGGTGGGACTCACCTGCCGTGTGGGCTGCAGTACCAGGGCTGACCAGCGGGTGCTCTCAGCAGCCAGAAGCTCACTCCTGTAGTCAGCCAACACCTGGGGCTGATTGCAGGAGGTGTATTTAAGGAATGACCAGGCCTGTGATCTGGGCCTTGGTGTATGTTTCTCATGAGCCCCTGTACCTGGTATCCTGTGTTCCTGCCTTGTTGCTGACCCTGCTTTGATCCTGACCTCTGCTGACCGTCTCCTGTTGAACCCCTGGCTTGCCTGACCATCCTTCTGCCTGATCCTTGGTATCGCGCTGCCCGCTACCTGCTGAACCTGGCTTGTGATCCCGACCATTCTCTGCTTGCTCCTCCTGTACCACGCTGCCCGCACGATACCGACCCGGCCTGTCTGACTACGCTTACTTCACCCGACGATCCATCCATCCCACACGGATCACCTTTAGTAAGTCTGCCTGCCTCTTCCCATCACACTCCGTTCCTGCACTCCCCTGCCAGTACTCTCTACCACAGCCGGACGCACTCAGGGGTCACAACCTGGTTCCAGTCTGCACCAAGTCCATCCCCACCATCAGGGGCCCTGGTGAATAGCAGACTGGGACTTAGACCCCACGCCCTGAGGAAATCCGTGCTGTGGGCTGCTAGAGACACTGCCAGGCGGCACCTGACAGTACCTTACGGCCTGCCTGACCATTCCACCTCTCCAGCCTGGCTACGCCTGTGTTCCTGAAGCCTGCTACTTCCCTGTGTCAGTCCACACATTTCTGGTCATACCTGGATCCCTAACACTGCCTATTCCCTGACCTCAAGGCATATTTCTAGGAATTCTCTTGATGCCCCATAGTCAACAATGCAGCAGAATCCATAGAGCAAGGAACATAAATCTTAAAAGTAGAGAAAAGCACATTTGCCTGGCTGAAGGCAAAACTAGGCAAAGGATCTGAAGAACTGTCCTTGTGTGACTACCAATCAATCAAAGAAAGACGACGTGGATGTGGATCAGTCCTTAAAGTCATAAAGGCATTCCTTGTTCCTGTCCGAGGATGCCTGCAAGAGACTAATGTGTATTGTCTGTTGACAATTCATGGACAGCCCTCTGCCGATATTCTTCACTTGCTTTGCAAGGTCTGAGGCACACCTAGGTGCAGGAACCTCTCCTGCCGCAAGTAGGACCTGAATTTCTTCTCAGTCGTGATGATACAAAAGCACCTAGATGGTGTCCAATGAAATCTAAACCAGGAGACATGCCTCACGATGCAGTAAGAATCATCTATTCTGGAGCACCAGAAAAACGTTCCTCAGAAATTATTCTCCAATGAGGCACAACCCCTATGGGGAGAAGAATACCAACTGATGACCTGATAGAAAAGACTTAATTATTGCATTACAGACTGCTCAGGAACTAGAGCCAAAAATGTGGGGAATTGGGATGAAGCAGACTGAGAACAGATTGGAGAAAGGGAGATGTATCTGAGAGGAAGCCCCTCCAGTGCCCAAAGCTTCTGCAATGAAGGAAAGTGGGGTAACTCCCTGTCGGATGATGACAGGCACTGAAGAAAGACATGCTCTGGACCTTAGAAGCAAGAAACCATTTTGGTTCCCTTTGCCTAAAGGTGATCATTGCCAAACCTGAATCCTGAGGAGATCAGATCCAGCAGTGGATAGATCCTTATCAAGGGATCTAACCAATTCTTCCACAGCTTGCCAAATTATGGACACAGCAAACGCAGAACTTACCAGAGGAAAACCAAAAAAATGGGGTTAAAAAAGGAGGGATGCCAACTGGTCATCAGTAGGATCCTCAAAGAAAAGTATGCCCTCTACAGTTTTAGTGGTTTTCCTGTTAAGGTGGGACAGTGGCAGAACCCCAGTGGGCAAAGATCACCGTTATTATTATACAGTATTTATAAAGCGCCACCGGTTCGCTCAGTGCTGTACATTACAATGGGAGACAGAACATGCGACAGAACAACAATACAATGCAATACACGAGGGGTTCGAGGACCCGTTGGGCAATCAGAAGCCAGTGGAGGGATTGGCAGAGGGAGGTGGCGGAAACGGAGCGGTTGGTAAAGTAGGGGAGTCTGGCTGCCGTATTCAGGATCGACTGAAGTGGGGATAGCCTGTGGCGAGACAGGCCAGTGAGGAGGGAGTTGCAGTAGTCGAGTCGTAATATGATGAGGGAGTGGATGAGCTGTTTAGTGGTTTCTGGGGTTAGGAACGTGCGGATTTTGGCGATGTTGCGGAGGTGGAGTCTGCATGAGTTAGTGATTGGACTTGGGGCTGGAAAGATAGGTTGGAGTCCAGAATGACACCAAGTACTCTGGCCTGCGGGGCGAGCCTGATAGTGGCATTGTTGGACATGATGGAGAAGTCAATAAGGGGGGGGTGTCCGGGCTGGGGGGAAGACTAGGAGCTCGGTTTTGGAGAGGTTCAGTTTAAGGAAGTGGAGCGACATCCAATCTGATATGTCGCTCAGTAGGTGTGTGATTCGGGCGGAGACCGAGGGGGTGAGGTGGGGGGTTGAGAGATAGATTTGTGTATTGTCGACATAGAGGTGATAGTTGAAGTCGTGAGAGTGTATGAGTTGACTAAGGGAGGAGGTGTAGATGGAGAAGAGAAGGGGCCCGAGGACAGAGCCTTGAGGGACCCCAACAGAGAGGGGGAGTGAGGGGGAGGTGGTAGCATTATAGGTAATGCTGAAAGAGCGCTGTGACAGGTAGGATGACAGCCAAGAGAGGGCGGAATCTCTGAGACCGAAGGAGTGTAGTCTTTTAAAGAGGAGGGGGTGGTCAATTGTGTCGAAGGCTGCGGAGAGGTCGAGGAGTAGGAGCACTGAATAGTGTCCATTAGCTTTGGCGGTTAGAAGGTCGTTGGAGAGTTTGAGTAAGGTGGTTTCGGTGGAGTGTAGGGGACGGAAGTCGGAGTGTAGGGGATCGAGGAGGTTGTTGTCGTTGAGGTGAGAGCTTAGGCGAGTGTAGACTAAGCGCTCAAGGATTTTGGATGTGAATGGGAGCAGGGAGATGGGTCTGAGGTTGTTCGGGTCACTGGGGTCCAGGGAGGGCTTTTTAAGTATGGGGGTGATGTGCGCATTAGAATGTTTTCCCTTTGAGAGGGAATGTGTCAAACACACGCTAATGGTGCCAAATATCCTTCAAGGAGCTTCCAGTCTGCATAGGCGAATACCTCGAATAGTGAGAAGAGAGATGTTACGCCCAGGTAAATCCCCCAAAGAGGCAGACTGTCGGTGCTCTGGCTCTATGTGTCCTCCCAACACAGTCACAACTTGAGAACAGATATGAAGAGCTGGCTATTTCTCCTCCCGAATATTTATCTTTATTAGAACAAGTGTACAGTTAAAATGCCTTATGCATTTCGGCAACAAGCCTTAGTCATAGCCTTTATTGCCTAAACGCGTAAGCCATTGTACCTGTACACCTTACTTGTCCTAAAAAAGATATCAATTCAAGAAGACGAGTAGCCGGCTCTTCATATCTAATCTCAAATACCTCGAATAGTGGTTGTAGTGGGGCCCAATACCCATAAAAGGGTACTGAGCCCCACTTGAGTGTGTTGGAACATTTTTCCTTTGAGAGGGAATTTGTCAAAACGGTGATCTTTGCCCACTGGGGTTCTTCCACTGACCCACCTTAACAAGAAAACCACTAAACCTGTGGAGGGCATGCTTTTCTTGAAGGATTCTACTGATGAGCAGTTGGCATCCCTCCTTTAAAATATATTTTTTTTCTCCAGATGCAAGGTTGTACTTACAATACTACAACAATAAGGGTCCAAACAACCTCATGTAACTTCATACAACCTCCTTACTGTGTGGACTCGGAGTCGGAGTCAGAGATAATCACTGCAACTGGTGGCCCAGCCTGTTCTAAGGCCTCAGCTACAGTAGGAATAGACTCTGCAGGGAAAAACATGGAAGCGTGCCTAGAGCCTCTGCGGTCAAAATTTTTGAGGAATGAAACGCATTTGGCCGCAAAGTCTTGTATGACTGCAAGACGCCCCTGATGATAAACTAGTGAACTTGACCTCACCCAATGGAGCTAAAGCAAACTCAAGTGAGGTAATCGGAATAACCATAGGGGCACTGGATTTCAGATTGCAGTCATAATGTCCTCAGAGGTACCGAGCGAGCGATTAAACTGGGAACCATCAGCAGAGTATGGGCTGAGGACATCGGTTGCAGGAGGATTGCCCCCTCTTTTGTCTGGATACAGACATGTTGTGACCATGTGGTAGAAACGCAAGTAGCCTCAAGTTATGAAGGCCTCGGGTAGTCTTAAACCCAGGCAGCTGGTGCTGATGACCGGAGGTGACCAGGGTCATAGTATGTGGGCGGTAGGAAAGACCTGAAGATTGGAATTCCACGTAGTGCTTTTGCAAAGCAGGAGCAGCAATGGATCAATGCTTCCTCTATGCTGAATGACTGAAAGGAGCATGCGAGCATTCCCACAACGTTAATCCCTTCTGCGTTACGGCTGACAGTAGTGGGGAATTTGAAAAGGCTCCCGGTAATGCCACTAATGAGGCAGCTTCCAGTGCTCAGCCTCAACAGCCTACTCAACTAAGTAAATCTTCAGAGACAGGGAAAATGTTGAGGCAATGTCACAGCTCTGGACCTGGAAAGTGCTCCTACTGCTCATCAGTAGAGTCCTTAAAGGAAAGCATTTAGCAAACTTCTGGAAAGCCCACAAGTGAAACCCAGTGCCCAAAGACCACTTTTGGACTAGACCCATAATGCCAAGTCCAACGGAGTCCTGGCACATCAAAGTAAGGCTTCGGAAAGATCAATTTAGAAAGCTACCGCGTACAGACCAGCTCAAGCATTGACATACCCTCAACGTTAATCCCTTCTGCATTACGGCTGACAGTAGTGGGGAATTTGAAAAGGCTCCCTGTAACGCCACTAATGAGGCAGCTTCCAGTGCTCAGCCTCAACAGCCAACTCAACTAAGTAAATCTTCAGAGACAGGGAAAATGTTGAGGCAATGTCTCAGCTCTGGACCTGGAAAGTGCTCTACTGCTCATCAGTAGAATCCTTAAAGAAAAGCACGTAGCAAACTTCTGGAAAGCCCAGACGTGAAACCCAGTGCCCAAAGACCACTTTTGGACTAGACCCATAATGCCTAGTCCAACGGAGTCCTGGCACATCAAAGTAAGGCTTCGGAAAGATCAATTTAGAAAGCTACCGCGGGAAGACCAGCTCAAGCATTGACATAGTAAGGAATCAATAGTAGCAGAGTTCATAAATAAAACTGAAAAGAAAGAAAGACCCATGATAGGCTACGCATTTCTCAGCAGAGCCGAAAAAAAGGACTTCATCTTCCCCAGACATTAGCAAAAAATGGGAGTAATGCTGGGGGTGGGAGGGCTTATCTTGGGATGCCAGTTTCCGAACCTTCCTGTACGCAGCAGGAAAACCCAACAATTTCTGAATTTCTGTGTTCCTCAATGGATGAGAAAGAAATTCTGGCATCCGTACAGGAAGGGTTCTCCATTGTGAGTACTGATCCTCCAGGAAACAACTACTTTTATACATATATTGTGAATATACTTATATTGCATAAAATGTAAAGTTGGTTCCCTTCACTGACAAGAGACCAATCAGGAGCCGTTATCTGCCCACATCGGCACACTTACTGCTGCCCGGGGTTATCAACTCCGACACGTCCTTCCGGCTTCTGCATGGAGTCTTCATCACATCCATCCCATCCAGGATGTCTTCAAGTCGCAGACTCACCTCACAGAAGGACGGCCTGGAGTCAGGTGCCATCTACGGGGGAACAGAAAGTGTGTCACCTTCAACAGAACATTTAAAGAGAACCACATATGATGATTACACAAGACCAGATTATTCAACCCCTTCACGCAGCCTGGTGGACTTTAATGCCTGAAGGCGGGGCTTCTATACCACGTGACTACTGTGATTGGTTCTCACAGAGGTCATATAATCAGAAGTCAGTCCCACTGGCACCCAATGAGAAGCTGTGACCAAGAGTTGTCATCTGACAGCTAAATCAGTGTGCTGGGTGGTGTGAGGGAACCCAAATCTTCTGGAACAATGTTCTGCAGGATAGGGGACCCCATTCTTCTCAATGATCTGTGGAGGGAGGGGACCCAATGTTCCTAGGGGAGTTGGACCCAATCTTTCTGCAACAAGGTTCTGTAGAATAGGGGACCCCATTCGTTTGAGACAAGGATCTGTGAAGGGTTGGGACCCAATTCATCTCAGACATTGAACTGTGGACCCTATTCTTCTGGGACAACGTTCTGTGGGGCAAGGGACCCAATTCTACTCAAAAAATCTTCTGTGGGGAAGGAAATCCAATTATTTTGGGACAATATTATGAGGGGGAGGGAACCCAATTCTTCTGGGACAATGTTCTCAGGAGAAAGGGGCCTAATTCTGCCCAAGAAATGCTCTGTGTGGAAGGGGACCCAATTCTTCTGGGACAATATTATGAGAAGAGGACCCAATTCTGGAGCAATGATCTATTGGGAAGGGGACCCAATTCCTCTGAAACAATGTTCTCTGGGGCAGGAAACCCAATTCCTATGAAACAATGTTCTCTGGGGCAGGGAACCCATTCTGCTCAATGTTCTGTGAGGGGGAGGGGGATCCACATCCTCTGGGATAATGTTCTGTGGGGAAAAAGGACCCAATTCTTCTGAAACAATGTTCTCTGAGGAAATGGACCCAATTCTGCATAAACACAGTTCTTTGGGGAAGCAGAACCAATTCTTCTGGGACAATATTATGAGGGAAAGGGAACCCAATTCTTCTGGGACAATGTTTTCTGGGGCAAGGAACCCAATTATGCTCAAACAATGTTCTGTGGAGAAGGGGACCAAATTCTTCAGGGACAATATTATGTTGGAGAGACAACCCAATTCTTCAGGGACAATACTATATGGGGGTAGGAAAACAAGTTGGACTGTCTGGAAGACGTAAAGCAGGAGAAATATCCAAAAATGTATCACAACTGTGAAGCATGTTGGAGGGACTGTGCTGCTTTGTGGCCTTGGGGATTGGAAAGCCTGCTATCCAAGTGAGTGCACAACTGTATGAAGAATGTTTGATGGGGATTGTCAGGATAGGTCTTGTTCATATGGGCAGCCAGGAGGCGATCAAAACAGGCAGTTGAGCTGCAGTCTAACTGCCCAATACCACCACCCGCACAGCCACCCACCTAAAGAGGAACATGCATCTACACAAGGCTGTACACAAGTTGCGGCAAACATTAAACCCAATTCAAATAAATGGGGACGCACGGCATCCGCCATGCATGCGGCTACGGCACAGTGGTTTGATCTTTTCAGTTTTAAGACAGTGAGAAGGCAATATATTGCCTCTTAGCTGCCTGTTAACTGCCCGCTGAAAACTGATCCACCACAGGAGTGAAAAAAAGTACTATAGAGCAGTCATTCTCAAACAGGGGAACCCTAGGGCTCCTTGAACTTTGGCAAATTGACCTCCTTTTTGATGGGGCCTACATAGTCCTGGGGCCAAAGTCAACTTCCAACTAACCATAGTTAAAGGCATTTTTCCCATTGACCCTTATTAATTGGTTTTGGTAAGGATAACTGAAGGCCTTAAAATTATTTTAGGGGTTCCCCTGGGGTAAAAGGGTTGAGAAAGGCTACTGTAGAGTGCCAACCCAAATCTGCTGACATCACATCCAAGATATTGGCACCCAGCAGGAGTCTCAGGGCTTTTGGATGTCTAAACAAGGGAGGATTAAACAGGTAAAGACTAGGCAGTAAATACAAAAGTACAATGTCCAGTAAGGTGCTACAATGGCATATACAGGTACAGTCCCCTTCATATCATCACAATTTATAGACATAGAGATGTTTTTACCCAACAACAATGGAAGGCCAGCTGGAGGAAGGCAGGGGGACAGTCCGGCTGCACCATCTCCCGAAATGACTTGATATCCAGACCAAAATCCTGCCGGGAGAGACACAATGAGATAGGAGAACAAAACAACACAACACCCTGACCACGTGCCCAAAACTGACACCATCTGTGATCTGGCCTTAGCCATCATTTACTGGGAATGGAGCCAGACAGGAGCATCCCCTGAGGGTTGTGAAATTGCTTCACTGGTTGCCTCTGACTGCTAGTCTCACCATATATGGAGAGAGATTGGTGATGCCACTCAGTGTTCTCCTTGTCGGAGAGGAAGTTATACCTGAAGACCTGCAGTGCAATGATCTCTCTGCCTCTGCTTCATTCAATCTGTGAACCTGTGCTTCCCCCACATCTCCTGCATCTTCCTGAATATTCCCACACTAGGAGGGCAGCTCTGACATGAAGAAGCAAAGCCCTGCTCACCTACCAAGATGGCCACCAGAGACACAAATAATTGCACACACACACAGAGACACTGTGCAGAACAAGGCATGGCAAGTCAGTAACAGGATAGACCAAGACAAGACCACAGAAAATACTGATGTCCAGTCCTTGTCTTTATTTTCGAGTGCATCTTCCACAGTAGAAGTCCTCTATAACCTGAACAATGAAATTTATCTTATCACTTTACAAGAAAGAAAAAAAATCCCTATACCATAACCGTAAGGAGTTTAGTGATCCAGGTATGGACGGTAGGACAGGGGTCTGGCGATCTAGGTATGGACGGTAGGACAGGGGTCTGGCGATCTAGGTATGGACGGTAGGACAGGGGTCTGGCGATCTAGGTATGGACGGTAGGACAGGGGTCTGGCGATCTAGGTATGGACGGTAGGACAGGGGTCTGGCGATCTAGGTATGGACGGTAGGACAGGGGTCTGGCGATCTAGGTATGGACGGTAGGACAGGGGTCTGGCGATCTAGGTATGGACGGTAGGACAGGGGTCTGGCGATCTAGGTATGGACGGTAGGACAGGGGTCTGGCGATCTAGGTATGGACGGTAGGACAGGGGTCTGGCGTTCTAGGTATGGACGGTAGGACAGGGGTCTGGCGATCTAGGTATGGACGGTAGGACAGGGGTCTGGCGATCTAGGTATGGACGGTAGGACAGGGGTCTGGCGATCTAGGTATGGACGGTAGGACAGGGGTCTGGCGATCTAGGTATGGACGGTAGGACAGGGGTCTGGCGATCTAGGTATGGACGGTAGGACAGGGGTCTGGCGATCTAGGTATGGACGGTAGGACAGGGGTCTGGCGATCTAGGTATGGACGGTAGGACAGGGGTCTGGCGATCTAGGTATGGACGGTAGGACAGGGGTCTGACGATCTAGGTATGGACGGTAGGACAGGGGTCTGGCGATCTAGGTATGGACGGTAGGACAGGGGTCTGGCGATCTAGGTATGGACGGTAGGACAGGGGTCTGGCGATCTAGGTATGGACGGTAGGACAGGGGTCTGGCGATCTAGGTATGGACGGTAGGACAGGGGTCTGGCGATCTAGGTATGGACGGTAGGACAGGGGTCTGGCGATCTAGGTATGGACGGTAGGACAGGGGTCTGGCGATCTAGGTATGGACGGTAGGACAGGGGTCTGGCGATCTAGGTATGGACGGTAGGACAGGGGTCTGGCGATCTAGGTATGGACGGTAGGACAGGGGTCTGGCGATCTAGGTATGGACGGTAGGACAGGGGTCTGGCGATCTAGGTATGGACGGTAGGACAGGGGTCTGGCGATCTAGGTATGGACGGTAGGACAGGGGTCTGGCGATCTAGGTATGGACGGTAGGACAGGGGTCTGGCGATCTAGGTATGGACGGTAGGACAGGGGTCTGGCGATCTAGGTATGGACGGTAGGACAGGGGTCTGGCGATCTAGGTATGGACGGTAGGACAGGGGTCTGGCGATCTAGGTATGGACGGTAAGACGGGTCTGGCGATCTAGGTATGGACGGTAGGATAGGAGTCTGGCGATCTAGGTATGGACGGTAGGACAGGGGCATGGTGATGTGTATGGATGGTAGGAAAGAAGCCTAGTGGTCTATGTATGGACAGTAGGACAAGGGGCCTGGTGATGTGTATGGATGGTAGGACAGGGGCCTGGTGGTCTATGTATGATAGGACAGGGGCCTGGTGGTCTATGTATGGATGGTAGGACAGGGGCCTGGTGGTCTATGTATGGATGGTAGGACAGGGGCCTGGTGGTCTATGTATGGATGGTAGGACAAGGGGCCTGGTGGTCTATGTATGGATGGTAGGACAGGGGCCTGGTGGGTCTATGTATGGATGGTAGGACAGGGGCCTGGTGGTCTATGTATGGATGGTAGGACAGGGGCCTGGTGGTCTATGTATTGATGGTAGGACAGGGGCCTGGTGGTCTATGTATGGATGGTAGGACAGGGGCCTGGTGTTCTATGTATGGACGGTAGGACAGGGGCCTGGTGGTCTATGTATGGACGGTAGGACAGGGGCCTGGTGGTGTGTACGGATAGGTTCTTGTCTTCAAAGACCGAGCACACGGAAACATTCATTCAGGTTGCCCTCACCTCTGTTCGGGGAAGATAGTCAGGATCTGCTGGAATCCGGGCGATTATCTCACACAATATGATCCCAAAAGAGAAGACATCAGCCTGGTGGAGGAGAAGGAGACCTGGTGAGTGGAGGTCATACTCAGCTTCTGTTCACAGATGTGATAAATACCGAGAGATTACCTTCTCGTTGTACAGGTCACCTCGCAGAACCTCGGGGGCCATCCAATACGGGGACCCAACCACAGTGAGCGGTTCCGTCTG